TTTTTTTGGCCCTTAGTTGAGAGGGTTAAAAAAAAAAAAAAAATCAGCTTCATGTTATCTGAAAATGGGATTTATACTCTTTCCCTCAGCCTGCTCCAGCCGGCATACTTCTCCAGTCACCTACCTTCTCCAGTCAGTGCTCAGATATCCTGCAACATTCCAAATCCATATAAATAATAATAAATATTCTCAATAAAATGTTTGCCATGAATTGAAATGCTTAGTTTAATGCCAGATACTGTGTTGTATACTTTACGTTTCTTATTTTATTTTGTATATTTATTTGATTCCTAGCAACCATCTGAGTTAGGTATTGTTATCCATTTCTAATTGACAAGTAAGGAAATGTAGATTAATATTATGTGACTTCTAGTTCAGAGTAACACTATTAGTCTGTGATAATCCTGGGGAATTGAATCCAGTCCTGACAACTCCAAAGCCTATGTTTTTAAAGCGTTGGCCCACTCTATCTTTACAGCCTTGTATTTAAGCTCTTGGTTATCTACATTAGGAAACATTTCCTACCTTAGCTCTCTCTTGTCTAATTTTCTACCTGCACATCTGTGCTTTAACCTCTCCCTGAGCATACCATATCATTTGAAATCTTTTGCCTTTTTTTTTCTTCCTAGTCTCCTTATCTGATTTTATGTTCCCCACCTCTCCATTTACATACATCCTGCATATCTTGTATGATCATGCTCAGATGCCATATCCTCTTTAAAACCTTTCTTACTCTCTTTTTAAATTTACTCATATTGTGGTGAAAACATATACACTGAGAGATTCACCAACATAACAACTGCCACATTCACAGGTCAGGAATATTGATGACATTTTTCACGTTGTGCCACCATTAGCAAAAATTCAATGCCCTACAAACAAAAGCTTCCCCTTTCCCCCTCCCTCCTCCTCCTGGTAACCACTAATAATCTTTTTTTTTTTTTTTTTTTAACCAAACAATTTTCCTTCTCCTCTGCTTCCATCACTGGTAACCAACAAAGAAAGTTTCCTTCCATATATAAACCTTTCCTTGACTTTTTACAGTAGCAGACTAATACAATATTTGTCCTTTTGTGATTGATTTATTTCATTTGGCATAATGTCCTCCAAGTTCATCCACGTTATGTGGTGTTTTGCGGATTCTACATTATTCTTTAGTGTTGCATAGTATTCCATTGTGTGTATGTACCTCAGTTTGGTTATCCGCTTCTCTGCTGATGGGCATTTCAGTTGTTTCCACCTCTGCTATTGTGAATAGTGGTGTGATGAACATGGGTGTGCCTATATCTGTTCTTGCCCTGGCTCTCACTTCATTAGGATATATACCTAGTAAAGGGATTGCTGGATCAAATGGTATTTCTATTTCCAACTTTTTAAGGAATCACTGTACCAATTTCCACAGTGGTTGTATCATTTTATAGTTTCACCAGCAGTGTATGAGTGTCCCAATCTCTTCACGTCCTTGCCAGCATTTGTTATCTTCTGTCTTGTTGAATTTTGCTATTAGTACAGGGGTGAGATGATATCTCGTTGTTTTGATTTGCATCTCTCTAATGGCCAACGATCACCAACATTTCTCCATTGATTGTTTGTTGGTTGCCTGACACTTCTTTGGTGAAGTGAAGTGTCTGTTCATGTCTTCTGCCCATTTTTTAATTGGACTGTTTGTCTTTTGGATTTGGGGTGTTGGAGTTTTCCTATAAATTTTAGCGATAAGTCCCTTCTTGGGTATGTCATTGCCAAATATTTTTTCCCATTCTGTAGGTTCTCTTTTTACTCTTTTGGAGAAGTCTTTTGATGCACATAAAAATTTAATTTTTAGAAGGTCTTAATCATTTATTTTATCTTCTGCTGTTTGTGCATACTTGATAATCTGTTTATTCCATAAATTAGGACCCCTAAATTTGCCCCTGTTTTTCTTTGATGAACTTTATAATTTTAGATTTCGCATTTAAGTCTTTGATCCAGCTGGTGTTGTATGGTATGAAGTGAATCTTGTTTCATTTTTCTTCAGATGGATATTCAGTTTTGCCAGCACCATTTGTTAAAGAGACTATCTCTTCCCCATTTAATGGATTTTGCCCCTTTATCAAAAATCAGCTCACTGTAGGTGAATGGATTGACTTCTGGGTTCTCAATTCTCTTCCACTGATCTATCCATGTGTCTGTCGTTGTACCAGTACCAGGCTGTTTTGACTGCTGTGGCTGTGTAGTAGGTTTTGAGATCCAGGAGTGTGATACCTGTAGCTTTTTTGTTCTTCATTAGTGCTCTATTTATCCAAGGTATATTTCCTTTCCATGTAAAATTAGTGATTAGGTTTTCCTTATCCTTAAAGAATGTTGATGGAATCTGGATTGGGATTGCATTGAATGTATAGATTGCTTTTAAAGCCTTTCTTGATTCTACTCCTTCTCTAGAAAGAGTTCAAATTTATATTAGTAATTTAGAGAATAGTCACTTTTAAAGTCTTTCTGTTCTATTGTATAATTAGTTCTTTGAATGCAGAGACCTTTATAAATTTTAATCTCTGTATTATCAGATACAAACAATAGGGTTTTAGTAACATTGATGGTGATGACTACTATTTATTAAGTATATATTTTGTGCCACTTACTCTTCTAGTTGCTTTGTATACATTTTCTCAGCTTCACAAACTCCAGGAGACATATTCTTGGGAACTTTACAAAACTATAAAGTGGGCTGGATAGCATTCATGCTTTCTCCTGAGTTGCTAGGAAAGATGGAACCAAGGTTAGAGTTAGGTCCATCAGATTCCCTCTGCCCCTAAAAGAAATTCTTTTTCCACTACATCCCAAAGACTATTCACTTTGCACATAGTAGGTATCCAGGAAATATTTGTTGCATTCTACTGTTTTTGTACCCCACTTTTGCTATTCTTGATATATTTTTAGAAAGATACTCTTGGCAAAAGTAACCAATTGCTTTGTAAGTGTAGGAAATCCTAAACATTTTGTAATTTCTTTTATTGCTTGTTCTGGTTCCCTAGTGCCGCTCTGACAAGAATATACCACAAAA